TGTGTGTGTGTGTGTGTGTGTGTGTGTGTGTGTGTGTGTGTGTGTGTCTGTAGGCCCAGTGAGTGCCCACCCGAGTGCTGGCCTGTGTGTGTCAATGTGGGCCTGCCTGTGGCCGCCTGTGTGCTGCTGAATAAAGTATGTCTCATCTGCCTATGGCCCCCCAACAATCTCTTCAACCTCCCAAGAGAGTTGAAGAGATGCAGCCTGCCAGGGCGGGTATTTGTTTCACCATATTCATTCCCATTCTGAAGATGTTTTCCTGAAGTTCTAAGGAGCAAAGATCATATTCACTGGCAGTGAAAAAAATCTAACAGGACAGGAATAGAGGGACTCTAGGGATCAGCATCTTATATGCACGGGTGGAACTGAACCTCTGACATCTCACCAGGCGGCATCTAGGAACTTAAGTGTTTTGAACATCAAGGAACCCAAGGCAGCTCTACGGCAACATTACCTGGTTTTGGTGCTTTCTCTGGGTCTTGCTCTAGAAAACCCCAGGTTTCTGCCTCCCTTCTGTACGTTCAAATTTCCCTCCCCTTTCATAGTCCCTTCAATAATGACAGGAGAACATCCAAGTCAGAGGAACGCCTGCCTTTACCCACTGTGACAGAAAGAGTCTCTCCCCCTTTAACCGGCTTCCTGTGGCCAATCCCTGGTGCCCCGCCCCGGGAAGCAGAATCGGTGCCAGGTGCGCCGGAAGGCTTCCTTCACTTCCTTGTTTCTAAGGCTGTAGATGAGCGGATTGAGAGCTGGAATGACGAGAGTGTAGAACACAGATGCCATCTTGTCAGTATCCAGGGCGTAGCTGGAGCTGGGACGCAGGTACATGAAAATGAGGGTCCCATACAGTATGGCCACCGCTGTGAGGTGAGAGCCGCAAGTGGAAGCTGCCCGGCGCCGGCCGTCAGCTGACTGCATGCGGATCACTGCCCCAGCGATGAAGCCGTAGGACACGGCAATAGCCAACACTGTGGTTGTCTGGATAAAGCCACAGACGGCAAAAAGGAGGAGTTCGTTGAGACTGGTGTCATTGCAGGAGATGGCCAGCAGGGGAGGAATATCGCAGAAGAAGCTGTTGACCTCCAGCGAGCCACAGAAACTCAGGCTGAAGGTGAAGGTTGTATGTACAAAGGCACTCACCACTCCACCCAGGCCTGATACCCCTAGTAAGGCCAGGCGGAGACGGGGTGACATAACCGTGGTATAGAGGAGAGGGCTCCCGATGGCCACGTAGCGATCATAGGCCATGACTGCTAGCAGGCAACACTCGGCATCAGCCAACCCTGCAAAGACAAACATCTGGAGGGCACAGGCTACATAAGGGATGGTGGCACGGGACAGTAGGAGGTCAACTAGCATCTTGGGGCCAATGGCAGAGGAATAGAAGGCATCCAGCAGGGAGAGGTTGGCCAGGAAGAAGTACATGGGCGTGTGGAGCCTGGTGTCCACACGGATGAGGAGCATCATGCCCACATTTCCCAGCAGGCTGACAAGGTAGATGGGCAGGAATACTAGGAAGAGGGTCACACGTAGGTCCCAGCGATCTGTGATGCCCAGGAGGATGAATTCCGCAGGCACAACTCTGGACCAGGTGAAGTTCTCTGAACTCATCCTGTGGGGTGGGGACTGAGAAGAGGGAAAGAAAGAGGGGGGAATAAGAGAAAGGCTATGCCCACCGTAGAACAGAGTACTGGATTCTGGGGGCCAGTTTTAACTGGACGTGCTGGTGCAACCTTTGACAAGCTGCATAACTGTCATACCCCGTTCCTAGGACTGAGAAGTCACTGCAGTTTCATCTGCACAAGGCAGATGTCTCCCTGGAACGGCCCTGGAGGGTTGTTGGGAGAACTTCTTTTCACTGGATGTGAGCTGGGAGGTGGCTTGGGAAGACAACCAGGTGTGGAAGGCACGGGGATGTGAGTGTTGACCTTTTACTTTTCTGAGGCTTGTTTTTTTTTTTTTCTTCTCTGTACAGAGGGGAGAGTGGCAAGGACGGAGTAAAATAATGCATATGAAGCATCTCACTTGGCTTTCATAACGGGCTTTCAGTGAAGGTTCGGTGAACAGAAGCAGATGCATTGGCTCAATACAGGATGAAACAACTCTAAAGCAATCAAAAATAGCAAAGTTCTCCCCAGGCAATGTTGCTTCGCACACCTGTGTTTTTCGTTGATCTCCTTTATCTAGGACTCACTTCTTTGTGTATCTCCAGCAGGAGGCCCTAAACGACCTACCCCAAGGAAACGAAGCAGCTGTCTCACCTGTGCCTGATGCAGCGTGCATCACCAGAATATCTCACCCTTTTGATCTATCCGTCCATCCATCCATCCATCCGCATGTCTCTATGGAGCCCTGGCTGTCCCAGAACCTGCTATGTAGCCAGAATGACCTCTGTCTCACAGAGATCTGCCTGAGCAGCCTCCCGAGTGCTGAGATTAAAGGTGTGCACCGCTACATGCGGCCTAAAAGTATTTTAAAATTAAAGTAACTTTTAGAATTATTGTATTTGTAATACTATGTACACATGTGAATCTATCTTTGGGCTTCTGCATCTGTGTGGGCTGTCAAAGAGGCAAGAGGAACAGATTCTCTGGAAAAGAAGTTAAAAGTGGCTGTAATCCACCTGATGTGGGTGCTGGGAATTGAACCTGTCTGGAATTGAATTCCAGGCCTCTGGAAAGCTGTGCTTGTTCTTAATGGCTGAGCCATCTTTAAAGCCCCTGCTAAAAAATTAATGGATAAATAACTGTGTACATTAAGGGATGGAATGTAATGTTATGGTCTATGCATTAAAAAGTCAGTCAACAATGGAACATAATAAGAGATGGAGGGATACACCCACACAGCTGGACACTTAAATTCTGACAAATGTATGAAAATGTGCACTGGAAAAAGACAGTCTTATCAACAAATGGTGCTGACAAAACTAGATCCACCTTCATAAGAATGAAATTAGATGTCAATCTCTCTTGCAAAAAATCAATTTAAGGTGGATCAAAGGCCTTCCTCTAAAACCGGAAATACTGTGACTACTAAAGGCACACATAAGGAAACCATTTTAAGACCTAGGAATGGCCAACAAATTTCCGAATCTAACTACAATAGCACAGGAAACAGCCCTAAGAATTGACAAATGAAGTCTCATGAAATTGAAAAGCTTCTCCACCAGAAAATGATTTAACAACAGCATGGATAGACAGCCTGCAGAATGGGACCAGCTCCAGACAAGGGTTAATATCTAGAACATATAAAGAACTGCAAAATTAAACATGAGGAAAAAAACTGCCCATCAGTAAATGCGCCAATGATCTGAACAGACAGATCTCAAAATAAGGTATACAAAGAGACATGAAATAGTTAAAAACATGTTCAGTATATTTAGCCATCAAAGAAATGCAGAGTAAAATGACTTTGAGCTTTTTATCTGATTCTAGTCTGAATGGCCACTACCAACGAAATAAAGGACAATGAATGTTGGCAAGATGTAGGCAGAGAGAAACCGTTATCCATTATTGGTAGGGGTGTAAACTAGTACAGACATTATGGAAAGCAAGGTGGAGGCTTCTCAAAAAAAACGAAAGCACGACCGCTACGATACGCAACGGTACCACTCCTGGACACTCAAAGGACTCTACAGCCTATCGCAGAAATGCCTGAGAGGCAGGAGACGAGGTGAGGTGGAGGAGGAGGGTCCAGAGATGATCACGTGAGAGGCAGCTGTAGCCGAAAGATTGGCAGGCCCTCAGCCTACCTGAGCTCCAGTCAGCCCAGGGTGCATGCTCTGAAAGGCTGGCGTCTATTTAAACTGGGGAGAGGGAGCACTCTGTCAGTGGCGGTGGGTCACTGAAGAATTCAGCCCTTTCGCCACCTTTATGCTCTCTGAGTGCCAGCCCACAGGTGAGCTATTGTTCCTTTGTGTCTGCCCTTAAACTGCCTCCTTCCCTATAACTACCCATGTGTCTCTGCTCAGTGAAGGGTAAGTAAACAAGAACCGGGAAACCCCAGCTTCTGCCCTCTAGACACAGATCCACACCTGATATGTTTGCACATCCGTGTTCATTGCTGATTTTCAGAATAGCTAAGATGTAGAAACAGCCCAGAGTCCCAACAGATGAATAAATAATGAAAACAAAATCTAACTGATATATTTTATTCAGCCATGAAAGAAAAAAAACAACAACAAAAACAACAACAAAACAAAACAGCTTTCTGTCATTTGCAGGAAAATGGAAGAAACCGTGGACATTGTATTTAGCAAAATGGCTGTGAGGCTCCAGCCCCACCCAGACGCAACATGTCCATGAGTGAAGTCCCCTGCTGATGGCCAACCCCTTGTGAATTTTGGTCTTTCCACATGAAAAGCAGATATCACTCACCTTTACAGACTGAGGGGAAAATCTGCTTCGGATATCTCTCCATTTCTCCATCTGTAAGGTGGTAAAAATAGGGACAGAACTTAGAAGTTGCTTTGGTATTCCCCACCCCCACCCCAGAACTCCTCTGCCCTGTGTAACTTCTCAGTTTCAGGCAGACCAGAATGGCTATCACCCACATTTAGCAAAATATAGTTCATTCTCCCAGGAGAGGAAGAACACACCGAGGAAGGCTCATGCGGGATGTGCTTTAGCTGAAGAGAGGCTCTGACTCAATGCATCTGCCTCTCTACCTCCTGCAGCACTCATTGAGAACAGCCTGGCCGTCTGGATCAATGTCTCTTGGCTTCTAGCTTTCCTTTCTCCTAATATTCCTTAAGGGTTTCCTTTAGTTGTGGTGGCTGTGGGTGGCACAGCAGGAATTCTCATCTGGCTTTTCTCATCTCTGCTGCCACTGCCTAAAGCCGTTTCCTTCCTCTGTTTAGAACAATCTTACCTGAAAGGTAAGAACATTGCATTCGAAAGAAGGGAAAGGACGAAGACTCATACCTACAAGGAGGACAGAGTTGGGATATGAACTATGACCTCATTGTCTATCCCCTTAATGGTGTCTCTAGGTGCCTTTCTTTAGTCTCATATTCAGATTATTTTGGTCTAGGTTAGTGGTTCTAGGTCTGGTGTCATTAAGATTTATGGTGAAACTTTGTGAAAAGCATATTGTTGCAGACAGTGCTCAAAGATTCTCCCAGATATCCCTCAACTGAGGAATGGATATAGAAATTGTGGTACATTTACACAATGGAATACTACACAGCAATTACAAACAAGGAAATCATGAAATTTGCAGGCAAATGGTGGGAACTAGAAAAGATCATCTTGAGTGAGCTATCCTAGAAGCAGGAAGATACACATGGCATATACTCACTTATAAGTGGATATTAGACATATAATATAGGATAATTATACTAAAATCAGTACACCTAAAGAAGCAAGAAGGAGGACCCTGCGTAAGATGCTCAATCCTCAATCAGAAAGGCAAAATGGGATGGACATGAAAAGATGGAGAAAACAGGGAACAGGACAGGAGCCTACCACAGAGGACCTCTGAAAGACTCTATCCAGCAGGGTATCAAAGCAGATGCTGGGACTCATAGCCAAACTCTGGGCAGAGTACAGGGAATTTTATGAAAGAAGGGGGAGACAGAAAGACCTGGAGGGGACAAGGAGCTCCACAAGGGGAACAACAGAACCAAAAAATCTGAGCCCAGGGGTCTTTTCTGAGACTGATACTCCAACCAAGGACCATTCATGAAGATAACCTAGAACCCCTGCACAGATGTAGCCCATGGCAGCTCAGTCTCCAAGTGAATTCCCTAATAATGGGAACAGGTGACATGAACTCTGTGGCTGGCTTTTTGATCACCTCCCCCTGAGGGGAGAGCAGCCTTACCAGGCCATAGAGGAAGACAATGCAGCCAGTCCTGATGAGACCTGATAGGCTAGGGTCAGATGGAAGGGGAGGAGGACCTTCCCTATCAGTGGACTTGGGAAGGGGGATGGGAGGAGATGAGGGAGGGAAGGTGGAATTGGGAGGGCATGAGGGAGGGTGTTACAGGTGGGATATAAAGTGAATAAACTGTAATTAATAAAAACTTAAAAAAAGATTCTCAACAATTTTTTTTAGAGTGAGGCTCAGACATCTGTAACTGAAAAAAAAAAAAAAAAGGTACTGATTCTGAGACGGAGCTGACTTGGACCTCCCTGGTAGCTCTTCTCAGCTATGAACATGCGGGAGAAACAATTGGAGGTATCATGGAATGCAGTGTCTACCTCGGAAGACCTGCAACCTGAGATTCTGCATTTTCAGCAAAGCCCCAGATGCTGCTGCTGCTGCTGCTGCTGGCTTGGGCACAGTAGTTACCCCAGGAGATAAGGGGCTGTATTTCACGGTGACACCTCAGGATTCCTATTTCCTGGAGGGATCTTTTAATTCTTTCCTGTGAGTTTCTTTCTTTCTGTGAAACTCCTTTACCTAGGGCCCTAGGGTACTGACAAATACATTTGTCTGGTGAAGACAGACTGGCATTTCTCAATATGTAGCTTCTCAATATGTAGCTTGTCCTGTCGTTTGAAGCTTTAGGTTATCCCTCCCCAGCATGCACACATTTAGTATTATTTTATGTTATGTTTATGTTTTGCATATATATATACATATATATATATTACGTATTAGACATCTTGTCTCACATACCATACATGGCTATGGGTTAAGAACATACCAAGAAGCAGAGACGTTCCGAGAGTTTTGTAGCAGAGAAGCTTCAGCCCAGCCTTTGAGGTGACAGTGACAGAGGAAGGTGACAGGGCTAAGTCCACAGAAGAGCAAACAGGGGGGCTTAAAATCTTCCTGGCCCCAAGGGAATGGACTGTTTTTGTCTTCTTCCTGCTTTCTCTGTTCCACACCATGGTCCCAGAGTCCTTGGAGACCCATGTCTCCATGCCCTTTGGGGACTCTGTGACAGCCAGTGGCTAGGGACTCCTAGGGATGACTCACTCTTTATTTTACTCCTGGGGATATTGTTGAAGTTTGGTTGAGTGGGTCCCCAGGCTTTGACTGGGTTCCTTTAGCTCACTTTTACGTATCCACCCAATATACATTCATTTAATGTGTTATTAATAGTTGTTATTATCCTTTAAAAAGCTTAAGCCCTTCTACACAAGCTCAGCTTTTGCAGTTCTAATAAATTACATTGTTCCTCATGTTTGTGATGCCCACCACATTCTGTTACACTCAGTATTTTTGTTGCAGAGCAGGTTCCAATGTCACCTGCAGGAAGGCTTTCTGCCTCTGAAGCAGAGTTATTCCTTCCCTCTGTAGAGTTTCCTTGGAGGCAGGATCTTTCTATGTGTCCCATTCTGACTAAAGTGTGACACAATCTTAAGGGAGTTTTATTTTCCATTTTTTTGATGGTTATGCATATTGAACCTGCACGTTAGCATTTCTTCCTGAGAACTATCTATTCAGTTTATCTGTTTACTTATTGACTGGATTATTTTTCAAAGCAGAATTTGTGGATTTCTTTCTAGGTGCTAGAGATAGGTGTATAGGTCAGATGTACAGTTGGACAAGAT